TATACATTTGCAATGGATGTTTGTAATGACACACATGATAAAACCAAAAGTGCAAATGTTATTTACAACACATATTGTGCGATTTCATACAACAGTGTCTTTAGAAGTGAGTATCATTCCGACATAAATAAACTAACTTCTACGCTCTTTGAACATCAATTGGACTTTCGGTTAAGCAGTGTATTGTTGTGACAGAATAAAATCATGGCAAACCTGATTTTCAAGTTCTTGAATCTGGCCTTAATAACTTTTGCAAGCTAATGACCATCAGGATGCCCTTAATCAATGCTGGCTTCATATTTATGTGTTTCACATTCTTGTGAAAACCCCTATTGCAAAAATATCATGATTTGTTTTGCACAAAGACGGGAATAAACAAATTTTTACTGCTCGAAAAAGACTACTGCACATTTGACTACATAAGATCATTCACTCACAAAACAATCCAGCAAATGTCTCGTTTCCATCACAAAAACTGGCATTCCAATCTACGACCCTGAACAATAAGTAAAACTAAGGTGAGGAAGGAAACATACATGTACATGGTAAGTGCTGCCACGTGAGCTGTTTCCATACCTGCTGAGTACAATAAAGTGTCAGAATACATCTCAGATGTGCAACAATCCAGAAAACGGTCTAACAGGAGTGTTCCTCGTCTCTCCATTACTGCTACAAGTTAAGAAACCAAAGGAACCCCCTGAAAATCCCAGCCTGCATGCCCGACAGTCACTGTGGGGCCGTCATATTTAAATACAAGGTGCATTAGTTTCCACAGCAAAAGCAATGTAAAATCAACAAAGCCAAGCCCAAACTTGTGGGGTTTGTTAAACGGAAATCTCATTATCGTCTTTGCCGTCATTTCGCTATTTATTTTCAATTGTTGGATGGCAAGCCAATGATATTTCTCACCTTTAAACTCACCTCCTGTGAGGTCACATTTGAACAAACCCGCCAACGTAGCCACAGATGCGTTCTCGTGCGTAGGCGCGGCATTGTTATCCTAATGCCCGCACCATAGTACCACCGTGGAAAACTGGTCGTGGATCAACTTGCGCACATATTGACCAAACAGGGGATCAAACAGCGCTGGTGATTGGCGTGCTTGAAAAGGCCCTGCACCACAAAGATCTGAAGATAATGGAAGTATTAAATTTTTTTGTAAAGTATATCAAAAGAATGACCACTATTTGAAAGAGAGAAAGAAAAAAAACATCCCCCAAAACTGTATGCAAGTCAATTTGCATCAAACAAAAAACCATATATTTTAGCCTGGACGAACGCAA